GAGCGAGTAAGACTCTAACTGGTGTATCGAATTAGAAATCTCGATTGAATTTATATTTCAGTCTCTATATGCAGATAGCATTAAGGAAAAGTTGTGGAATGATGTGAATGAGCAAGATGAAGGTCATGAGAGAAAATCGAGGGAGAAGGGAAGGATATTTTTTTTTTTGTTTATGTGGATAGATTAATATTTTTAGAAGGTTGACATGAAGATTGAACAGAGACTTAAAGTCTTAATTATTTTTATAAATATATTTTACATGGATGTAAAAAAATATTCATTAAAAATTATTTCAAAAAAATTATTATTTTCTGGATGAGTAAACAATTATTATTATGGATAACTAAATATCCCAAATATAATAATAAATTATTCTATAAATTTCCTACCAAAAAAAATTATTCTATAAACTTCCCCCTCTTTCATCTCTCCATAAAACCAAAAAAGCACAAAAAAGAAAAAAGAAAGAAGCATATGCAAGAAAGATTCTTTGCGGCAATGAGTGAATGAAGAGGAGGGAAAATGAGCAAACTAGGCCAAGGAAATTGTAACATCCCGAGCCTCCTGACCAAGATATTGTTGGCTTTCAGGCCATTCCACATGATCTTTTTTTGGGTGAATTAAGATGACTGTCTGAGAGCAACATCATCGTTAAGGTTTTTCCCACCATTACCTAAGAGGGATGCAAAGATGTTCTGATACTAGATGTAACATCATGACCTTTTATGACCAAGATATTATCCGCTTTGTGACTACCCCAACATGGTTTTTCTTTTGGGTGCATCATGATAACTTTCCGAGAGCTCACACATCTTTGCACTATAATACACGACACACATTTAGATTTGAAGTACTTGAAGAATTCCTTCATTTTACGATAAGACACGTCTTTTTAGTTAAGGTCAATTTCTTACTTATGAATCATGAATCTCAACATGTGCTTTGCCTATGTAGAATTTGCCTAAAGTGTTACAGAAATCGTCGAGGAAGGAAAATATTCGAATATAAAAATTTAGTGATGAACGAATATCATAGAGAAACCATCATGGCTGACGTAGCGATGCCACTAGAACCCGAACCAGCCTGCTCAAAGTGGATAAAATCCACTCTTGAGGGGCTTTGGTTAGGGTGCTGGTTTACCCTCTTTTGAAATTAGTGGGTTAAGTATGAGTTTTTCCAAAATCCAACTCGCTTTCCAGCGACTCACACCCAAAGGCAAACCATCATTGGTGGATGTTATTAATTTTTATGTCACTATAGACCTAAAAATATAGATAATTTATGAATCTTATTAGCTTTCTATAGAGATATATTTGTAGGAAATTTTTTGATAATGTTACGATATGGATGCTCGTAAAAATAATATATGATTATTTTCGTGAATGTATGGATTCCCATGCACTTGTAGATACCTGTTTAGATTGGGTTTCCTTTTCTAAAATTCATTCAATATTTTTATCGATTTTTTTTTAATGAATGCATCCAATGAATTAAAATTGAGTTTAGAAAAGCCCCCACCCATTGCCATATCCCTAGGCTATCGTGATATGGGTTCCAAACCTTTTAAGATGGCGCAATCTAAACATCATTAATTACTTAATGATAATTAAAAAGGTGGCATGCTGCTTTTGCTTTTTGTATTGGGTGATTTTTCTGGTACCCGTAACTGAAAGTGAAAAAGGAAGATATTGGGATTAGGATCGATGCTAGGTATAAACAATTGTGTCAACAAAAATAAATATCAGCTCTTATATCTTCCCCTCCACGGAGACCGTAGAAGAGCAGGTTCAACTACTAATTTCCTATATGTTAATTGGAAAATATATTACAACAACATGATTCCTCCCAGAATGTCCAGTGACCCCCCTTCTTGATCTTGGCCTTGTTAAGTAGTTATATTAGGACACAGCTGGCGCGGAAACAGATATATGCAATGGGTCGGTAGGGAATGGATAGTGCATATCCGTTACCCTACCCAAAGTAGTTCGGGTTTTACCCATACCCATACCCACATAAGAAACGGGTAGAAAATTCAAACCATGCCCATACCCATTCGGGTTTCGGGTATCCACGGTTATTCATGGGTAATGGTTTCTCTTTATAACTTCAACCAATATATTAATATTCACACGTATTCTCACGTTACGTAAGACGAAAAGTACGACAATTATTCACTAGAATGAACAAAATTAATTAAAACAACACAATTTCAAAAAAAATTATATTTATATGCTAAACATAAAATACGTTAGAGAAAAATATTGATTATTTCTAGACAAAATACATATGCATATGTATAATCGGGCGGGTTCGGGTTGTATAGTGAGAAAACCATGCCCACCCATTACCCTCAATATTCGGGTTCGGGTTTTACCCGTACCCACAAAAAGTCCTTCGGGTTCGAGTTTTACCCTATCCGATTAGGTCGGATTCGGACGGATATCCACGGTTACGGATATTTTTGCCATCCCTACTCTCCCCTCTCTCCCCACGTTGGGCGAGTGGGTGGGCTGTTCGCCTTCGTGCGTCCATGGAACGAGTTGTTTCCGCCATCGTCTTCCGCCGGTTCCGGCACCCCCCCACCGGAATTGGGATAAATAGGGGAGCGCAGCAACATGCGATTGGGGCTTTTCTCTGTATCCTCTTTGTTAATCCTTCTCCTCTTGCTGTAGGCGTTCAATTGAGATTCCCTTACTCCGATTCAATGGCGGCCATTCAGTTCGATGACGCGGATGTTGCAGTGGGTGCACAACGGATCGACCAAACTCTGGTCGGTCGGCTTTGTGGACCGCTTCCATCTCTGTCGACCCTGCGAACGATTGTGGGGAGGGTCTGGAAATGCGATTTCTCGATGGCGGTTGTGGAGTGGGACCTTCTGCAGTTCGTGCTCCCTGACCCGGAGACAGCGCTTAGGATTCGAGCAGGGTCGCCATGGATTTTTGAGAAGTTCCTCATCCAGGTCAGGAAATGGGAGACCCCAACGGCAGAGGTGGCAGCCGACCTCATCAGAGTGCCTCTTGTCGCTCAAATCTGGGTAGTGCCTTATGATTGCTGTACCGAGAGGATGGGATCCTTGCTTGGGGCTGCTATGGGACCTGCAGAGGCGGCCACAATCCACCGATCGGTTTCCTCCGGGGGGCTATACTTCAGGACGAAGATCACTCTGGACCTTCAACTCCCCCTCCCGGATGAGATTTCTGCTGCTCATGAGGACCCTTCGAGAGGGTGTTTCAAGGCCAAGGTGAAGTTTGAATCCCTTCCCCAATTCTGTTATCTTTGCGGAGTGATTGGTCATGTGAATAGGAACTGTCTGCGGAAGGACGATCTGGATGGACAGCCTCCAAGATATGGAAAGCATATGGTGGCGCAGGAGTTCGGCCCGAGAGTGAATGAGAACACGCTGGCTCGGCGACGGCGTAGGTTTGTGTGGAAGCTGGCCGAAAATTGCCCTGGTAACCAGATGGCGGCTGTTTCCACCGGTAGGCGACCACGATCAGGTGAAGCCAACGATGGGAGGCGGCAGTCCTCCACTCTCCACCTAGGAATGACATCTCATCTGGGGAAACTATGCATCTCGGCCCCCCAGGGTAGCCTGCCATCCATTCCAGTGGTGAGTACTCTGCTACATGACGAGCGAGTGACTGAACATCAGGAGCCAGCAGCTAAAAGAGCCCGACTCGGAACAAATGGCGACGAGGCAGGTCCCGACATGAATCTGGAGGTGGTGGCAGCCGGCCTTAATCGGTCCCAAGCTGATCCATGAGCAAGGCCCCCTGACAATTCCAGTCCTGAAGGAGGTTCTATTCTGGGAATCTCCGCTACTGGTGTGCTTGAGTGAGACAAGGAGGGATGATGAATTTGTGATTCAGCAATTTGGTAATTTAGGCTTCCCTGAGGAGCGTGTACATAGTGTGTCCAATAATGGCAGTGGCTTAGTCGTTGCGTGGTCTTCTAGTTTAGCTTGTACAGTCTCAGTAGAGTCTCTTGGCTTTTTATTTTTCGAATGTGAGCACTTCTCGTTGGGGAGATTTGGTGTTGTTTTTGTGCATTTAGATTGTGAGGAAGGCCTCCGCCAGTATCAATTGAATGAAATTTCTTACTTGGTTTCTTTGTCTGAGGATCCTGTGTTTGTGTTGGGAGACTTCAACTGCCTTCTTTCTAGTGGCGAGAAGCGCGGCGGTCGAACTCCTTCCCCGGCAGCCCTTGCACAGCTCAACCTATTCTTGGGGGCGGTAGGACTCCATGATTTGGGGTACATTGGACCCCAGTTTACATGGTCAAACCGATAATCACATTCTGACCATATTCAATCAAGGCTGGATCGATGTTTGGGGAATAACCTTGTGCTGACTTTATGGCCTGAGTTGCAGGTACACCATTTAACTGACAGGGGATCTGATCACAGGATGCTACTGCTGCAATTTGTAAAAATGGAGGGCCACAGGGCTCGACGATTCCACTATGATCGGCGATGGGACTTCAACCCGGATTTACCCCCTCTAGTACAATCGGCATGGCAGCAGCCTACTGGCAGAACACCGCTTTTCCAGGTACAAACCCGACTAAAGCATGTCAGGCAGGAGCTGCTTGGATGGGCGAAGGCCGGTACAACAAATTCGGCCCGACAGATCCGCGAGTTGAGAGGGACTATTGACGATGAAAGGGAGGCTGCTACAGTTGATTGGTCAGCTATCAACAACTTGGAGAAGTAGCTTGTGGAAGCCTACAAGCAGGAGGAATTGTATTGGAAGCAGAACTCGAGGATCAACTGGCTCCACGGTGGGGATGCGAAAACCCATTTCTTCCACCTGACTACAATGCAAAAGAGACGCCAGAATTTCATTTCCGGACTGCTAGATGAGCAAGGGACTCTTCAAACTGTCAAGTCAGTCAAAGGGGAAGTATCAGTAACATACTTTGAATCTTTATTTACATCGAATGGATTGAACCCTACTGATTTTATACACAATTTGAATCTTCCTCTGAAGGTGACAGCGACAATGAATGATCATCTTACTATGCAGGTGTCCCGAGCAGAAATCAGAAACGCAGTGTTTAGCATTGGGAAAGAGCAATCCCTTGGCTCTGATGGCTTTACTGCTGCATTCTATCAAAGGTTTTGGGAGGAGATAGGTTGGGATGTGTCTGAAGCCATTTTGTCCTTCTTCCAAACAGGCCGACTACTTCATAGTGTGAATCACACATTACTGACGCTTATCCCAAAAGTGGCCAATGCTGATTCCATGCGCCAAATGCGGCCTATTGGGCTATGCCAGGTTTTATACAAAATAATTGCCAAAATCCTTGCATCAAGGCTAAGTTCCGTTCTTCCTCAGATCATTAGTCCATTTCAAAATGGTTTTGTTAAAGGGCGTTGCATTTCCGATAACATTCTTATTGGCCAGGAGGTAATGCAATTTCTCAAGACCAAGGTCCGGGGACAAGACAAATGGATGGCGTTAAAGCTCGACATGGAAAAGGCGTATGACCGAGTGGAATGGGAGTTTCTTTTTCAGGTTATGAAATCGATAGGCTTTTGTGAGAAGTGGATGGTATGGATCAAAGCATGCATTTCAACAGTCCACTTTTTAGTTCTGCTCAATGGAACGCAGTATGGCTACTTCCAACCTCAGAGGGGGATTCGCCAGGGGGATCCGTTATCCCCATTGCTGTTTGCCATCTACACCGAAGCATTTTCTGCCAAACTCAGCCAAGAGATTGCATCGTCCTCCCTTCATGAGTTAAGACTTCACAGGTACCTGGGCCTTCCTTCCCAAATCCGCCGCTCTAAATCCCTATCTTTCCAATTCATTGAGGAAGATTTGGCGGCTCGCATCAGGAATTGAAAGTCAAAGGCCTTATCTCTGGCGGCGAAGGAGGTTGTCATCAAGGCGATTGGGGTGGCTGCTCCAATCTATGCCATGTCAGCCTTCCGTCTTCCTCAGGAAACGTGTCGTCGATGCAATGGCCAGTTGTCAAAGTACTGGTGGGCGGGTCAGGATAAGGAGAAAGGGATTCATTGGAGTTCGTGGAGTGCGATCTGTCAAAGCAAATTTACTGGGGGGCTTGGTTTTCGAGACTTTAACAGGTTCAATGTTGCGCTTCTAGCTAAGCAAGCTTGGCGAATACTATTCAACCCTTGCAGTACCATTGCTCGCCTGTACAAGGCTCGCTATCACCCGCAAGATGACTTCCTTGAAGCATCTTCGGGAGCTCGGCCATCCTGGGCTTGGCAGAGTGTTTTGGAGGGGAGAGATCTGCTGAAGCGTGGCTTGCGGTGGCAGGTTGGAGACGGGACGCAAATCCGGGTTCTACATGACAATTGGCTGCCTTCGTCTCCCCCGTCATGCCCTCAACTCCGACCAAGTTACCACCTTCTTTCAATCGAGTACAACCTGCGGCACCCACCACCTCTTCTCCCTTTCGAATCGAGGTTTTGGAAGCTTCTTTGGAGTCTGCCGGTGCCGCCAAAGTTGAGATTCTTCTTCTGGCGGGCTGTCCGTGGCTTCCTACCCCTTCAAACTGTCATGTTCACCAAAACTCTGGTGTCAACTACAGAGTGTCCAATCTGCTCGGCGGAACCGGAATCTTTCTCCCACTTCTTCTTTGGTTGCAGGGTGGCGCGCGGGTTATGGAGCTTGGCGAACCGAGAAGCCATGTGCAGTCATCTCGGCGGGATGGCTCCGGATGATGCTTGGAATACTCTGTTTTTTTCCATGAACTTGTCCAAATTTGAAATTACAGATGTGATCTTTCTTCTATGGAGGATTTGGAAAGCTAGATGTTGGTCGGTTCATGGCCACATTCAATATTTGCCACAGCCTTTATTCCGGCAGTTTCAGAGGCAGCTGGAAGAGTGGCGAACAGCAGAACAGGTGGCGCCAACCATCCCAAGACAAGGCCCTAGAACAGCACGCGGCCCTCCTAATGGCATTCAGACACCGGCGGGGCTTCCTTCCACAGCAATTAAAGTCTGGTTCGATGGTGCAGCTAAACGTGGACGGGGTGGTAGTGTTGGCTTTGTTGGTTTTCAAAGTACAGGTAATGTCCTTTTTGCCTTTGGGAAGTACTATGAAGGGTTGGATGAGCCCTTTATAATGGAATGTTTGGCTTTGAGAGATGCCTTACAATGGTGTTTGACCCATGGTTTTGTGTGTGTAAAATTTCATGGGGATTCGCAACTACTGATACGGCGGATGGTGGGGGAGGATTTTGCTCATGATCGAGGTGGAGCTGTACTTCAAGATACTCGGGTGTTAGCTGCTCAATTCAGTTGGATCTCTTTCTATTTTGTTTCACGTCGACTTAATAGGGCCGCCCATCTTGTGGCACATAAAGCCCTCTTATCGGGAGTTCGACTACTGGTCGACTCCCGCGCTGTACTTGACTCTTCTCTTTGACTTTCTTGTTACCGCTATTTTTGGGGAAAAAAAAGGTGGTTGGGCCATGATAGGTTTTGATGAGAGGCCGTTTTAAGTCACCAAACATCTCTCAGGATTGATGCATTTGTAGATAAGGAAATAACGATAAATAAATTTTGACACGTCAGGTTTTGTAACTATGACTGCATAGATCGGAGGGTCACATTTGTCGATCTAGCTATGGTGCTCACACCACTTTTTCTGAGTATATGCTCATATGTTGAGAATGGAGGCCAAATAGGGTGAGCAGTGATCTAAGGGCTGGTGCTCAGTAGCTCAACTAAAAAAGCAAATCAATTACGAACTAATATCCACATTAAACAACTAGTATTCAAGGTTTGTTAAATGATATACATCATGAAAACAATAAATTCACGAACTGATATCCAGATAAGACAAAAGAATATCATGTATCCATAATGCATATAAATAGTATTCAGAAGAAAAAAGGCACATTTATGAATCGATATCCATGTCATTAAATTGCAACGATCTAAAAAAACTCCAGAAAGCCAAGAAACAAAAAAAAATCCAGAAAGGAAAAAAATAACAATCACTAGAGAGGAAAAGCCCACCACCAAGGACAAAACCCGCATATCATATCTCCATAAGAGAAACTCCTAAGATTACCAAGACCTATGCAGTCAAAAGCGCGATTTTACATAAAAGTGGAAAATAGGTAAAATCGTAAAGCGTAGAAGTGAAACGTAAAAAAGTAAGTTTTTGACGCATCTTGTAAAATAGTTAAAAATCTGTTAAGTACGACATTTACTATGTAAAATGTGATTATATAGATTTTAGATAAGTGAATAAATACCTCAAATTAATGTTTGAAATGTAATTTCTCACACACAACCTAATTTGTATCAATTCTAAAGTAACGCAAACTTGTAGCATCATAATAGCAAGTTCATAAATATTGATCCCGAAGAAGCTAGTTTAAGTGTCATAATGACATACGAGTCTAAGAATCCAAGTTCTCCAAATCAAGGAGAAAAAGCAATGTTCAAGAATTCTATCGTACCGGTCAATTTGACCGAAACTATCAAATAATGGATCCAAAATAGTTTTAACAATAAAAAACAGTTAAACTAAAATGCCCTTGATAAATGAAATAATCAAATCTTAAATTTCAGCGGGAAAAATTTCCTATTAAAATACTGAAAACACACTCTTGTAGTTCAAAGCAAAGCCCTCACAAGTGGGCAAACTCAATACTAAAAATCTCAAAGTGATCTCCAGTCTATACTCATAATCATAAATGTAAATAACTGATAATCTCTAATGCTGCTACTAAAAACCTTGGCTAAGCATCCTTCGTGACGCTTATACTGCTTTCCTCTAGCTGGCTGGCCTCGAACTTGCTTCTCACTACTGCTCCTTTGGCTTCTCTAGCTCTTCAAACTGGTGAGTGAGATAGGGTCAGTCTACGCCCTTACGTTTAACATCTTATTAATGCTCGACCACTTAACTTAGTGGAAGTTGTTTTGTACCTCCACTATTAAAAATCTTGACTCTTGAAACTGTACTCTTAAAACTCAAATCTCTACTTAAATTCTTGACTGACACGGGGATCCCTCACTAGCTAGTCTGGTTGCCAACTCATACGTATGAGAAGCCATTCAGGCTTTCCTTAAACTTAGTTAGGATAGTCGTAACGATTCATTCCCCTAACATCTTAAACTTATCGTGGTGGCTCTTCACCACGATTCTCAAGAGCATAACTGCTGCTCATCTTAAAAGTCTCCAGAGCATAACTGCCGCTCTATCTGAAAATCAAATGACAACGGACTGGCGCTAGTGACTAAAAACACTTAAAACAACTTCACCTTCTTAAAGGTGAGTTACTTCTTAAAAAATACTTGTTCTTAAAATTTAATACTAACTCATAGACATCAAGCTTCAAGTAAGAAATAAACTCATCCACAATTCACTTCAAATCATAGCTCAACCATCGCACATATCATCAAACATAATCATGCAATATCAAACATGAATCAAATACTGCACGCACATCACGTAAATCAATACTTAAAAAATACTCAAAGCAAATACTTGAAAAACCGTAAGGCGTAGAATTTACCCCCTTTTACACTCACCTGCCTGACTCGAATTACTCTTTCAACTAATCTGATTCCTTGGTCGTGGTGTGCCACCGCTTGGCCTCGTCTTTGGAAACTGCGTTAGTTAATTATCGACTCTTAGTAACACTTTTATGATTAAAATTTGCCGCAAATTAGTTCATCAGCTATGTGACTCCTACTTTCTTATTTAATTCTCCCCTCATGTCACCCTCAACCACTAGCTATCAACGTGCCCATTACCAATGGATGCAGCCCAAGAATTGCTCACCCTAATACGACACCCCTCCCCAGGGTTCCTTTATACTACCCTAGCATTTCTTAAAGTCTAAACATTCCTCAACGACCACAAAAACTAGCTGGGGGACTTCTCGGGTTACCTCTTCGTTTTTTGACCCGTTGCCCACTTTCCACTGCTTAGGACCAAAGACCCTAACATCATCCTATTATCATAGCTACTGGCATGTGGTGATTGTTCCTCTTCCTTTGGAGATTCATATTTCTCCCCTTTGTTTGTCTTAGCTTACTAGATCATCCACTTGTTTCCTAGTAGTAAAATCCTCGTACTACTCTCTCAACTCCTTCAAAATCCTTGAGGTATTCCCTTTCAATTGGCACCTCTTTGCTGGTGTTTGGAGTTGAAGTCCTCGCACATTTGATTCTACCTCCAAAGACCTTTGCAACGTTCCTCCTTCCTTCTCTAGGTTGATGATGATGATCTGTTTGCTAACGTCCGAGTAGTTGGTTAACTAATTGAAAAATTACTATTCATCATGTCGATGAGATACTTGGTCTTGAGAGCCTTTGAGATTCTACTTGGGTTGGTCACGTTTCTTTCATCCTTTCTTTCTTACTGGCGATCCCCATATGCCTAAATCTCTCATTTGACAAACCACGACATGTTAATCAAATCCCGTCCTAGCCTATTCTTAAACAATCACACCTTGGGCTACCATCCCTTCGTGTCGTGCTGTCATAGTTATTCACCTTAATATGATTAGAGTAGACTGGAGATTCTATAAACTCTTAAAAGAAGATCCTTGACTCGTTTTCCTTTTCTTTAAAAACAAAAACCTTTAAAACTGAGACCGATATTCCAGTATTCCTTGGAAACCAAGGAACAGAGGAAAACCATGCACTGATACCAAAATGTAACACCCTCACCCGGCCGGGTACTACTTTTACTAAAATGCCCGTGATAAATGAAATGCTCAAATCTTAAATTTCAGCGGGAAATATTTCCTAATAAATCTCAATACTAAAAAATCTCAAAGTGAACTCCAGTCTATACTCATAATCATAAATGTAAATAACTAATAATCTCTAATGCTGCTACTAAAAACCTTGACTAAGCATCCTCCGTGACGCTTATACTGCTCTCCTCCAGCTGGCTGGCCTCGAACTTGCTTCGCACTATTGCTCCTCTGGCTTCTCTAGCTCTTCAAACTGGTGAGTGAGATGGTGTCAGTTTACGCCTTTACGTTTAACATCTTATTAATGCTTGATCACTTAACTTAGTGGAAGTTGTTTTGTAACTCCACTATTAAAAATCTTGACTCTTGAAACTGTACTCTTAAAACTCAAATCTCTACTTAAATTCTTGACTGACACGGGGATTCCTCACTAGCTAGTCCGGTTGCCAACTCATACGTATGAGAAGCCATCCAGGCTTTCCTTAAACTTAAAGTTAGTTAGGGGAGTCGTAACGATTCATCCCCCTAACATCTTAAACTTATCGTGGAGGCTCTTCACCACGATTCTCAAGAGCATAAATGCTGCTCATCTTAAAAGTCTCCAGAGCATAACTGCCGCTCTATCTGAAAATCTCAAATGACAATAGACTGGCGCTAGTGACTAAAAACACTTAAAACGACTTCACCTTCTTGAAGGTGAGTTACTTCTTAAAAAGTACTTGTTCTTAAAATTTAATACTAACTCATAGACATCAAGCTTCAAGTAAGAAATAAACTCATCCACAATTCACTTCAAATCATAGCTCAACCATCGCACATATCATCAAACATAATCATGCAATATCAATCATGAATCAAATACTGCACGCACATCACGTAAATCAATACTTAAAAATACTCAAAGCAAATTCTTGAAAAACCCCAAGGCATAGAATTTACCCCCTTTACACTCACCTTCCTGAATCGAATTACCCTTTCAACTAATCTGATTCCTTGGTCGTGGTGTGCCTCCGCTTGGCCTTGTCTTTGGAAACTGCGTTAGTTAATTATCGACTCTTAGTAACACTTTCATGATTAAAATTTGCAGCAAATTAGTTCATCAGCTCTGTGACTCCTACTTTCTTATTTAATTCTCCCCTCATGTCATCCTGAACCACTAGCTATCAACATGCCCATTACCAATGGATGCAGCCCAAGAATTGCTCACCCTAATACGACACCCCTCCAAGCTTTAGATGAAAAGTGCCACTTTCTCATTTAACATGTGCCACCTGTAGTTGTGTCCTAATCCTATACCCTCCAACTAATCTTCTTTCAACCGTGGGTATTCAATTATCCGTACCATGGTTATTATGCGAGACAAATGGTGAGATAATGGTGATCCCTACCTAGTGCCAAGCTGCTCAGCACCGGTGATGAAGCTTGCCAACATCATACTTTCCGCAGTAGCTACTCGTGCAGCACCCCACAACGTTTACTCGACCCTCCTTCCATCTTCACTGCACGGTGGCGTTCGTCTTCAACCCTTTGGAATAATTACGCCCATGGAACAGGCCAGATCCCTCCCAATCTTCTCCACCTGCATATCCACCGTCCGGTTTTCAATCTCGTCCAGCTTATATCCCCCGCCAATCTCAAATCTCCCGTGAACCCTCTTCCGAATTTCCCAATCACAACAACCACCACCTCCAAGCCACAGAACCGAAAGGGAGAATCTGCCGCTGGCGAAGTGAAAACGAATAAGAATTGGATCCAATCCGGCAGAGGATATGATGATCCGCTAAGGAGGGAATGGATTGATGGCCACCGGTGGAGAGGAATTAGGATTCGCTTTTGAGGACGTTTAGGGTTTTATTTTAATGTATAATAATAATAATAATTATTATTATTATTCCTAATTTGTTGTTGTAACTCTTTGAACGAAACCGTCGATCCAAGCGTTCGGTCGAACCCTAACCTAAAAATGGGGTGTTACAGTATTGGTAGAGTTGCAGTCACAACTGATATGTGGGCTGCAACCAACCAAAAAGGGGGGTAAGTTTCATCTGATTGAGTATTATGCGCTAAGTTTGGCACTACCAATATTGACTTGGTGGCTGATAAGATAAAGCAATGTGTCTATTGTTTGGTGCTTGATTACAAAACCAAGGCTGAGTAGAACAATTCTGGTTCTTCAACTGCTTATGGTAGCTCTTCTGGTCCTGCAAATGATGATCATGATTTTGATCTCTTTGTGGGTCGGAGGAAAAAGACCAAAGCAACTCTGATCCATACTAAGCTGGATCATTATCTTCTTGAAGGCCTTATTCCCGATTTTGATATATTGATGTGGTGGAAAATGAATGGCCTTAAGTACCCCCACTTGCAAGCAATTGCAAGGAATTTCTTGGCCATACCAGTCACACCAGTGGCTTCTAAGGTGGGAGGTTAATAGACCCTCATCGGAGTAGATTGCACTATGATACAGTAGAGGCAATGATGTGTACATGGAGTTGGATTATGGAGGAAATGAAACAAGTTAACCTTCAATTACTCCCTTATGAGCTTCTTAATGTTAAATTTTTGAATGCTAATTATATTTTTTTGCATCTACATAATCATCAAAGGATGCTGTCGAGGCAATGGAAGGGAGGTTCTCAGCGCTAGCAATTTCAAATTCCAGGTTTGAAGATCAAGAGTAAGCTGGTAAGTTAGTTGGTTCTCAATTCTGTCTTCTGTGTAATTAGTTCAATTAAGATTAGTCCTTAGTTTCAATTCTCTAATTGTATTTTTTATTCTTGCATATCAAGGGGGACTTGTAATGAAGAAGCATCTAATATCCCTAGATGGCTGATTTGTTGAAAGGTTCAAGGTATAGAGCCAAACTTATGTTTATTTTACTTGTTTAATTTAAATGAGTTTTAGTTCTGTAATCGTGTTTACTATTTTGTTGCTTGCAGTGATTGCTTTTGAAGGATGAATGTTGTTTTTGAGTTGGTTTCCATCATACTGTTGCTTGCTTTTGGATGAAAGGATCAAATGAACTTGTGGAACTCGTGTGTTAGTTTACTTTTTTGATGATGTTATTGGGGCTGATTGCCTTTGTTTTTCATTCTCTTCTTTTTTAATCTAAACACTAGTCAGTAGCTGTAGTGATGAACATGGTTTATGGGTTTTGGGCGGTGAGAAATCGGTTGCAACAGCTGGTTTACTTGTTACAGCCCCAGAGCTTCCTTTTTTGTTTTGGATTTCTGTGCCCTGAACAACAAGTTACTTTTAATTTTTGGGATCTGAGTGTTTTAATAATTTTTCTGGTTTTTCCTTCTTCTTTTTTTGTTATCAGGATCCATGGTGATATGTGGGTTACCCGGATCCGGCTGGGGACGAAGACGGTAAGTAGATTCCACCCATTTAGCCTGCTTGGATGGGGACGATGATATCTATCAGCCTTGACGGATAGGTAACGGGAGCTAAGTACCCGTCCCCGATACGCCCTGTTGCCACCCCTATCCACAACCTAGGGGCATAGTACTTATCCACCGATATCGCCACCGCCTCCGCATGGCAGAGGGAGAAGCTTTAGGAGTCATTTGGGCAGCCGACAATTGAATTCGGGGGATGAAGGAGCTGCAAATTGAGAAGCTGAAATTGAAGCAAAGGAGCGGATAATATGCGCAAGTAAATCTTGAAAAGAAACATATATCGATGAGAGTGATGGGCCATCACTAAGGGTGCACAATGTAGGGGAAAGAGGAAGCCAATGAAGGACTAGCACCAAAATCCGGCGAAAAGACGGGAAAAGATGGGGTAACTGGGGCAGCGAATATGATGCTAAAACTCATCCCAGGGGATAAACGAGAGTGAAGGTACACATGGCATGGAAGCTTATGAAGGACCAACACTGAATCAGTGACTCTTTAATTCAGGTGGCGGTGAATTGATGGCCGGCTGATTGCGAATCAATGGTCAGAACTCCTGATGGCTGATGAATGGTGGTAGTGCGATGTGAAAGGTTGTGAGCTGGTGAAGTAAGCTCTGGCGGCAAGCTCTAGCGGAAGCCTCCTTAATTCGTGTCTTTCAAAAATTTCCGGCACTGGATCGGCAATGAACGCCTCAAGGATTGCGGAAGGAACAAGGACCTTCTTACATTCAATATATTTGGAAGCATAACATATTTCCTTTTTTCCTAAAAGATATTCATCAATTAAATTATATCGTATTAGTTGTATCATTATTCCATATCATTCCATTACATATATATATATATACCATTACTATATGGAGATTCTCCTTCAGAACATCTTCATTAAGAATTTCCAGCCTTCTAAGTGTTTCTAGGAAGGGTAGTTTAGTAAACTTAATTATTAAAAGTAACAAAAGATAAAAAAAATGCACCATTCCCAAAAATCTAATAACCCGCTAACTCGCCAAGAAAGATATTAACCAGCTAACAAAAACTAACAGGAAATCCAAATAAAAAACAAATTCGGTCGAGAGTAGTTTTATGTGTCTAAGAACGACACTTCTTCATTTTTATTATTAACACTTCCACTCACTATTTGGTTTATAAAACATATTAAAAGGGTTTTAAGACTTTGTAAATTTGACTTACATATAAATTTTTAAAAAATAATAAATCTACTATTCAAGTAGTAAATGTTTCATATGCTCGCAATGTGTTGTAGATGCACCCTATCGATTACTGATGTTAATAAAAAAATCTTAACATCAAAATATTTAATAAAAAGATATGAAAAAATTGAGGCATTTATTGAAAGTTATTTCATGTGGGGTATACGATAATAAATGTGAGTATCATGATTGACAAATTGATACATAATGTCTTACATTGGGAGTTAACAAGTTTATGCATTAGTTGAAAGTTACTTTACATTGTATAAGATAATAAATAGAGTATCATGATTGACTAATCGAGGCATAAAGGCTTACATTCATAATTTACAAACCTCAATCTTGGAAATGAGTGAGGATTAGATAATTGGACAATAATAAGTGGGTATAATTTATATATATATGGTTCAGGTTAGTGTACGTCAGTCGTACATTGTACGCCCGTCGAGTTTTACTATTTAGAGCCCGAATTAACCGCAGTTTAGGGAATGATACTATACCCTAACCTCTAATGGGTGAACCCCAGTCCCTAATTCTCTAACCCAAGCCACAAGATTCATTTAATCTAAAAAAATAATAACCGACAGTTCTGATTCAGCGAAATATATTATAGTGCAAAAACCAAGTGTGAACACAGGCGTACTTATAAATATATATAGTTATGGGTGCCTTCTACTGTACCCGGCCGGGTGAAATCTGGGGTATCACATACCTTGAGTATGAAAACGCTATATAGACATCGAATTAGCAGGATTATTGGGCATGATACTATACTCTAACCCTTAACGAGTGAACCCTAGGTCCTAATTATCTAAATCATAAACTATAAACCCTAAGATGGTGCATTGATTTTTTGCCTGTATTTGCACGAATCATAACCGTCGATTATTGTTTCTAATTAAATTGATCTTGGGGTATAAGATTTAAAGAATTAAAACCTAGATTTTGATCTTTAAGGGTTAGAGTATAGTATCGCATCCGGAGATAAGTCAATTCAAGTTCTGGATAGCGTTTTTTTACTCAAGGTATGCGGTACCCCGGATTTCACTCTGGTACCGTAGAACCCCCCTGACAATTATACAAAAATTGGATGGATTGTTGAGTATTTTGATCGAGAAATGAACCTATAATATGTCAATGTCCCATAAACCTATATTAAGAGACTACGAAAATTATAAAATAGGATGTTACCACAAAACAAACCATTTCAAATATTGATTCACCTTAAGAAAAGGTTCTGCAAGGATAAGTTGATTTTACATAAAACATAATTAGTCGGACCAACGGGTGGTTCTATGCATTTGAGAAATTTTCTCTGTAGAGGATCAACCAATCAACAAAACAATGATCCAATTCAATCTTCAAACCTAGAATGTAAGTACAAATATGTATCTGTCTCTTATTATTTATAGTTGACAATTTTATGTACATCCATACCCTCTAGGATTTAGGGAAGATGGAAGTTATTTTTAAATCACTAGAAAGTGTGGTTGACTCTAATTAATCTATTTTTAAATGACAATAAGCTTGTTGATGATATGACCATCCATGATAACACTTATCATTTTATAATCAATCTAATTATTATGATTATTTAATATTAGAAAATTAGTTCTTACCATCTTACATTCATAAACTAATTCACATAAATCAAAGTTGAAGAATCTGTTAGAATCAGTTTCGAAATCAGAATTGCTCTCCAAAGAAAAGTTGCCAGCTGAGACCTTCCTATTGTGGCTATGGGAGAACGTTCAAAAACCAACGGTCGGCTTTCTGTTGGTCCTATAAAATCGATTCTTTGCAAGTGGGTGGAAGCACTTGTCAAGAGCGGAACAGGGCTTAAGGGCAAAGTGGGTTGATTCAAACAAAGGAATATGTTCTATTGAATTAACGGTGTAACGGGTATGGGATTTGAGATTTGGGTTTCAGTATTCTGTTCGTTATTTGAATTCATTGTGTCTGTAATTGCTTCTCTTTGTTTTGCTTGATAGGAAAAAATATAATAAAAAAAGAGTCTCCTAGACCTCAGTAAGTACCGAGTCTAGGACGAGTAGTGACCGGTAGTTGGGAACCTCGTTAAATCTTGCTGTGTTCTTTTAGCTTTTCTGTACTGCCTCCTTTAGTTTCTGATTGTTCTCCAACATGCTCTGTTTTCTTTTAAAACCAAAGATTCTGTTTTCTAAGGATTCTGATCCAAGGAAGAAGACAAGCTCTAGCTATTTCCCTAGTTCATTTACTTTTGGGCCAATCTCTCTTAAGCCCATTTTTGTTTAATTACTCTTAGTTTCTGTAAGTGGGCTTTGTGAAACGTGGGCTCATACTAAAGGGAAGAACCAGTACCAAAGGAAAGAAACAGTCTTTGTTTCTTCATTTCTTTATTCTTCTCATTTCCCCTTTCTTCTCTGGATTTCCCAGTTTCAAAACCCTACTTTTTCCCTGGTCATTTTGATTTCAATTGGTATCAAAGTATGCCCTTGCTGAAGAAATCTCTTGCCAAGGTTTAGATCCAATGGCATCTTCATCCTTTGTCCAGGTGGTTCTCAATCATCCCCCAATCTTCACCGGTTCAAATTATACTGCATGGAAGAAACGGATTAAACAATTTATGTGGGGAATTGATGAAGAATTGTAGCTAATCGTGCAAAATGGTCCGATTGCCATGATTGCTGAGGAACAGACTGTGTGGTCGGCAGCTCAGAAGAAAAGTGCTCAGTTGAATCAATGTGCTATGCATGTTTTTCAATCTGCAATGCATCCAGATGAAGCAGATCAAGTCGAGAACTGCGAGACGGGAAGAGAAATATAGCTTGCTTTGGAAAGCACTTATGAAGGTACTTCTAACATACGAGAATCTCGGATTGATCTATTAGTTCATGAATATGAGGCATTTAACATGTTTTCAAATGATGGAATTCACGAGATGTATTCTCGATTCACAACTTTAATCAACAAGCTTAAGGGTTTGGGAAAAATTTTTCTTGTTAAAGATCTGAATCGAAAAATTCTTAGGTTGCTACCCAAAAGGACAGCTATTGTGGAGGCTAAGAATTTAGCTACTCTGCCTATTAATGAACTAATTGGTTCCCTGTTGAGTCATGAGAATGTTATCAAGCAAGTTAATCAGGATGATGATAAGAGGCATAAAAGTCTTGCTTTTAAATCCAAGGTTATCGCTTATGATTCGGGTAGTGAAAATGAAGCTGAGTTTGATAAAGAATTTGCTCTTGTTAGCAAACAGTTTCATAGGATGCTTAAACATAAAAACAATAGAAAACTTCAGGCTTCAGAGAGTCAAAATTTTGAATATGATCGTACTAAACCTTACTCTCAAGATAGGCTACCTCTGTCGCAGACCAGAAAGTTTGAAACAGGTTTTCAGGATAAGGAGCCTCAGGCGTGTTGTAAATGTGGGAAGTTGGGGCACATTCGTGCTCAATGTACTCTGACTCTAAGGGCTCGTGAGCATGCTAAGAAGGCTTCTTGGAGCAGTTATGATTCGGGTCAAGATAATGTGCCCTCTGACGAATAAGCATTTATGGCCGCCATACCTGTTCAAACCACCACGGATCATCATTCAGTTTCTACAGAAGCTGATGACTTCAAATGGTATTTAGACAGTGGATGTTCACATCAAATGTCTGGTAAAGATGCTTTTTTCTCTTCTCTATTATCCAAAGATGGAGTAAGGTCCTTTTTGGAGACAATGGATCTGGACAAATTGTTGGAATTGGTACCATAGGAAGTTTAACTTGTCCATCTTTTCGTGATGTGCTGCTAGTGCGGGGTTTGAAACATAATCTGTTATCCATTAGCCAATTGTGCAGTAATGGTAATCGTGTTATCTTTAAAACTGATAAATGTATTGTTGAGCGTGTAAAAGATGACAAAGTTCTTTTTGTAGGATCTATAGTCAACAATATGTATCGTATTGATCTACATGGTTTAACTGCCTTTCATGAGATGTGTTTTACAGCTTCCTGTCATTATGAACTCCTTTGGCATCGTAAGATAGGTCACATTAGCCTTCCCAAGCTAATTACTCTTTCTAAGTCAGAAAGTGCTCGTGGTGTTCCACCATTAAAGCATAAACCTGATTTTTCTGTGAGACATGTGTTGCTGGGAAGCATACCAAGAAATCATTTAAACTAAAGTCTAGCATCACGACTACTGCTGTTTTTGATTTGATCCATTTGGATCTTTTCAATCCTTGCAATGTTACTAGTCTAGGGGGTAAGAATTATGTTCTAGTCTTGGTTGATGATTTCTCTCGTTATACCTAGGTTTACTTTTTGGAGCATAAAGATGAATCGCTTGCGAAATTTATAATCTTTGCGAATCAAATTTATGGACGCATAAAAACTATTGCAGTGATAATGGTGGTGAATTTGTTTCAGAAGAGTTTGAGACTCATTGTAATGAGTCAGGGATAACTCATACGTTCTCAGCTCCTCGAACTCCTCAGCAAATGGAGTTGTTGAACATAAAAATTGCACTATTATAGAATGTGCGCGTACTATGCTGCTAGAATATAATTTGCCAAAATTTTTCTGAGCTGAAGCTGTAAGTACATCCTGCTATACTCTTAATAGGGCTCTTCTTAGAAAAGGGATGATGAACACTCTCTATGAGATTTTTAAATTCAAAACCCAAATTTGTCATATTTCCGTCCTTTTGGATGTCCTTGTTTTGTGTTGAATACCAAAGATTGTTTAGGAAAATTTGATGCAAAATCAGATTCTGCTCTTTTTTTTATGGTATTCAGTTAATGGTCAAGCATATCGTGTCTACAATAAGCGTACTAAGAAAGTTGAGGAATCTGTTCATGTTGTGTTTAATGATACTAATGCTTCGGATAAGATTTTTGTACAGGATGAGGGTGCATATGATATGCTAGAAATGATTCGAATGCCCTCTGAGGAAGCTAATTCTCTGAATGATAAGGTTACCAAGATATCATCTCATGATGATCATACTACTCCAGAAAATTTGGAAGATACAAATGAAAGTACCACAACAGATGTCCATAATCAGCCTACCGTTCCTCCACATATTAAAAAAGGCATCCTGCTGTTCAAATAATAGGAGATGTGAATGATGGACTTCACACTCGGGGAGGTAAGTATGTTCCAGGTTAGTATGCATATGTTTCTCAAGTAGAACCTAAGAACTATAAAGATGCTTTAAGAGATGATGGATGGTCTATTGCTACGATCGAAGAATTAAATCAATTTGATTACTTACATGTTTGGGATTTAGTTCCACGACCTTTAAATGCTACTGTTCGGTACTAAGTGGGTTTTTTCGCAACAAGTCAAATGAGGAAGATATTATTATTCGAAATAAAGCTAGGCTTGTAGCTCAAGGGTACAAGCAAGAATAAGGAATTGACTACAGCGAGACATCTGCTCCTGTAGCACTGATGACTTGATATATACACATGTTTTTGTCCACCATTCCTCTATCGTTTGAGTCTCATCTCTCGTGTTTTAGGCCGATTTCGTGCTAGGTTGTTCGTGATATTTCAGGTCCTAGTACGTGAAGAAAGGTTCGAGCACGAGTTCGGGGTCGATTGGACGAAGTTGGAACGATTGACAGGAAGCTGGGAAACCACACGGCTAGACCCAAAAACCACACGGCCGTGTGCCGTGGTGGAACCCCTTTGCATGGGCAAGCCACATTGGTCGTGTAAAGGGCCCTTTTTGACTGTGTGGTTTTGGCCGTGTAGCATACCTAGAGTCACTAAATCGAACGCAGCGTTTTGGAGAGCCACACGGGAAAACCTAAATTTCACACGGCCGTGTGGCCTGGTCGTGTGATCGGGCAGAACTGGGTTTTTAACCCAATTTCGGGTCTTTGAAGAGGGAATCGATTTTCAGAGTTAGAAACAGTGTCCAAGAGAGAGAAAGTGTGAAGAACACACCCTAGAGGTGATTTTGGAGCTGGGTTTCATCAATCAAGCTTGGATTTCACCCTTGGAGTGAAGATTATCATCCCAGAGCATATTCTTCCCATCTTGATGAGTATAGCTGCTTTGTATTTTGTTTCCCTCTCTCTCTCTCTCTCTCTCTCTCTCTCTCTCTCTCTCTCTCGCTCTCTATATGGAGTATAACCTTCTCTCACTTGGGTATGATGAACCCTAGTTCCATGTGTTAGGGATATCGATTGTAATGACTTTTGGATTGTGATACTACTTGATTATAATCGATTAAAGTGTTTTGATTGAGTCAATTGAAGCCTGATCATCTTTTCTTGATTTCTGCTGCAACCTGAGATAGATAGAATCTGATTAGGTTGTTAAAGCTTCTTCAATCGGTAGTGGTGAATCGATTATATGAGAGTTAGTCGATTCACTGCTTTGTACTGGAATTAAATTCCAATAGTGGAGTTTTGTGTTTATTGCCTCAGTAGTCTGTCCCGGTGAAGGCGAATCGCCTACCGGTTAGTCTGTCTGAGAGGGCTTGGTCAGCTTAAGAGATTCCAAGCTACTGTCGGATCTTCCGCAGTTTAATCAATAGTAAATCAACCAAAGGTAATTACAACTTTGACCTAACTAAGGAGCTAGGGGGACTCATTCCCGAGTGACTCTTCCCCTGCTTAAGAACTTCGAACCATTTCCTGCTTTCTTACTGCTTTAGCTAAAAACCAATTCAACCAAATTAGTTTGCTAGATAATAAATCATCACGGAGTAGGCAGTAGATCTAGACCTCGGGTTGATAAATAGAACTTGCCACTATTCTGCATTTCCGGACTGCGATTACACTTGGTCGCAGTTTGGTGTGTTTTAGCGTGTCAAGTACGTCTTGAGTCAATTCGTATTCTTTGTGCTTTTGCTAGCTATTTGAATTTCAAACTCTATCAGATGGACATTAAGAGTGCCTTCTTGAATGGTGTTATTCAGGAAGATGTTTATGTTGAACAACCTCCAGGTTTTATAGACCATAAGTTTCCTAATCATGTGTTCAAATTAAACAAAGTCGTTTATGGTCTTAAACAGGCTCCAAGAGCTTGGTTTGAAAAACTTACGTCCTTTCTGAAATCCAAAAATTTCACTCAAAGCTCTTTTTTTCAGACTTTGTTTATTAAATGTGTCTCTAGTGATCTGCTTCTGGTTCAGATATACGTAGATGACATTCTTTTTGGATCTACCAATGAAACGCTTTGCTATGATTTCTGTGAGTCTATGAAAAAGGTTTTTGAAATGAGTATGATGGGTGAATTACAATATTTTTTCGGGCTGCAAGTTAAACAAACTGAACATGGCATTTTTATTAATCAATCAAAGTATCTTTCTTCCTTGTTGAACAAATTTGACATGACTGCCTTGAATTCTAGTCCAACCCCGATAGCCACTACTATTAAACTGGACAAGGATGAGGCTGGTGTACCAGTTGATGAATCCATTTATCGAGGCATGATCGGTTCACTGCTCTACTTGACTGCTAGTCGTCCTGATATTCTTTTTAGTCTGTGCCTTTGTGCACGTTTTCAATCTCAGCCCAAAGAAAGTCATCTCTCGACTGTCAAACGTATTTTTTTTTTATCTTAAAGGAACTCCTGATATTGGGTTATGGTATGCTAGACAAGACTCATTTGTACTGATGGGGTATACAGATTCAAACTTCATGGGAAGTTTAACTGACCGTCGTAGTACCCCAGGTAGTTGCCAGTTTGTAGGAATGTCGCTTGTCTCTTGGTTTAGCAAGAAACAGGGAGATGTAGCTCTGTCCACTGCCGAAGCAGAATATATGGCTGCTGGTAGATCGTGCACTCAACTCTTATGGTTGAGAAATAAGCTAACTGATTATGGGTTACATATTCCCACTATGTCTCTATTCTGTGATAATACTAGAGCTATCTCTATGACTAAGAACCCTGTCCAACATTCTCGAACTAAACATATTAAGGTTAAGTGCCATTTTATTCGTGATCTAGTACAGGAAAATATTGTGACTTTATAGCATATTCCCACAGAATATCAATTAGATGATTTGTTTACTAAACCTTTACCATCAGATCGATTTACTTTCCTCTGTTATGAGCTTGGTATGCGATCCCTTTCATCTCTTAATGAGATGATCTTGTTGTGATTTTCTATTGATTATTTTTCCTTTTCTTTTCTTCCCTTTTGTTCATTAATTGATTTTCTTTCTTTGCTTAGTTTTTCCTTTCCTTTCTGTATTGTCTTCATATCTCGGGGTTTATTTCCTTCCCTTTTTTTTTTGTCTTGGATGTCCTATTTAAATCTTGGTCTTGTTTTGGTTATTGGCATCCAAGTTGTGTCTTTCAGAGTTGTTTGCAGTGTCTTTCAGAGTATTCTCTTTTCTTCTTTTAGCCATGGTTTTTGTAGTGTCTTATACTGGAACCCTCTTTGTTAACCCCATCCCTGCTAATCATCATTGCCATATTCAGTTCTTTGCCTCCAGACCTTTTCAACCCACGTTTCATGTGCCTTTTCCTGCTCTCATGGAACTAGGACTTGATATTGGGGGGTTTTATTCATAATCTTGGGTGGGATTTCCTACTAGCTCTCCCTTTTTCATCCATGTTCTTTCCTGAGGTGGTTAGGTTTTTCTTTTCGAACTTTCATTTTCCTGTCCTGCCTTCCCACTCTTTCTCCTCATATGTCTTTGGGTATCTGTTCACCATTCCTCTAGACAATCTTGCAGGATTTCTTCATATCCCTAGAATTGGCGAGGCCTTAGCAGATGAATCTGAGCTCCCCTTGTTCAATTTTGACTATGCTGAGGAGTTTCATGCTCTCATGGGTGTGCTTATTGCTCCTCACACCTTCATGCTCGTCTCTTCTATTCTGTCTATCCTCCGGCTGCTACACTGCTGCATATCTCGAATATTTGTTCCTCGGACGGACTCGTTGGACATGGTGCTGCCTCTCGACCTCTGGATCATCTCTCACGATGTCCATGATGTGCCTCTTGACTACTCTCATCTGGTGTTCGAGACTCTCTTTCGCTTCAGCGATGCGTCTCTTGCTGCTCCTTTGTCGTTTGGTCCTCTGATCACGTCGTTGCTGCTTCACATTTCAGTCGATCTCTCTCCCTTTCGCTCTATTACGCCCTCTATCTTTCCCATGACTGACGATGTTATGGATCTCCTTGAGATTGTCGTTGAAGGGGAGGACGATGAGGTTTTGTGGATAAGCAATGGCAGCAATAGCAGGAGTGCTAGTAACGATGATGACCCGCAACACGAACCTTTTGTGGAAGCTCTGCAAGCCTTGTTGGAGTATGGATATGAAGATAACAGTGAAGGGGAGCTTCCTTGATTGAAGGGGAGTCTCATTGGAGATCAGCTGTTGTCGTTTGTGGTTCTTTTTTGATTGTCCTATTTTAGAACTTTTCTGGTTCTTTGTCAGTGGTCATTTTGTTGGATGGATGTTGGATTACCTTAGTTGTGTTTCTGAGTGGTTGGATTTGCCTCTTTGGCTGTTATAATTGTGTTTGGAGTTTGATCTTGGCTTAATCTTTTATGTGCTAACCTGTTATAGTTGAGATCAGATGAATGATGTTTTGCATGCAATCGGCAATCACTTATTTAAGGGGAGATTGTTGGAATCAGTTTCCAAATCAGAATTGCTCTCCAAAGGAAAGTTACCAGCTGAGACCTTCCTATTGTGGCTATGGGAGAACGTTCAAAAACCAACAGTCGGCTTTATGCTGGTCCTATAAAATCAAGTCTTTGCAAGTGAGTGGAAGCACTTGTCAAGAGCGGAACATGGCTTAAGGGCAAAGTGGGTTGATTCAGACAGAGGAATAGGTTTTGTTGAGTTAACGTGTAACGGGTCTAATATTTGGCATCCGGGTTTCAGTATTCTGTTCGTTCTTTGAATTCATTGTGTCTGTAATTTCTTCTCTTTGTTTTGCTTGATAGGAAAAAATCTAATAAAAAAAGAGTCTCCTAGACCTTAGTAAGTACTAAGTCTAGGACGAGTAGTGACCGTAGTTGGGAACCTCGTTAAATGTTGTTGTGTTCTTTTAGCTTTTCTGCACTGCCTCCTTTAGTTTCTGATTGTTCTCCAACCTGCTTTGTTTATGTTTAAAACAAGAGACTCTGTTTTCTAAGGATTCTGATCCAAGGAAGAAGACAAGCTCTGGCTTTTTCCCTCGTTCATTTACTTTTGGGCCAATCTCTCTTAAGCCCATTTCTGTTTAATTACTCTTGGTTTTTGTAAGTGGGCTTTGTGAAACTTGGGCTCAGACTAAAGGGGATAACCAGTACCGAAGGGAAGAAACATTCTATGTTTTTTCATTTCTTTCTTCTTCTCATTTCCCATTTCTTCTCTGTATTTCCCAGTTTCAAAACCCTACATTTTCCCTGGTCATTTTGATTTCAGAATCGATTGACAAACAACATAATTAGCAAGAAGGAAACGTGCTTTTTTATGTAAGTCAAAGCGTGAAGAAATATCAAACTAAAGCTTTTCGAGTTTATGTTCTTTAAGTTTGCATTTTGAAACGACATGCATTATCTAAACTATGATTCCAGGCCGAGGATAAAATTTAGGTACCGATGATTTGTTGTGAAGGAAATGAAGTTAAAGCTCAACATCAAGCTCACCGACTACAATATCTAGAATCCATTAGCGAGTCATAGTTTTGAAGATAAGGAAGAATTAAAGAGCTAATCTCGTAAAATGTTCAAAACTTGGAAAACATAAATTTGACATGCATGAAAATGATATTTCGTATTTGAAAATATTTTTCCAGCAAAATTTTGATTTCGAAAAAAGTTGAGGAAGGGAAAACGAGTGATAATATTAGAGGTAGTGCATCGTGTGATATGATGATAATGGGTTGTTGAGAAGAAGGAAGAAAATTTTAATGGTCAGGACAAATGTTTCAGTGACGAGGAAAAACAACAAATAATTGACTATATTCATAACTTAGATGAGATAAATTCTATCTGTTTCAAAGTTACGTGTCATATTTGTCAATATTTTATCATTAAATTGTTGTTTTAAATGAAATGCAGAAAAAAATAATGATTAATGATGGCAGTAGTGGATCCAATATTGGAGATAATTGACACTTTGAGTGTTGACAAGAAGGAAGAGAATTTGATGGTGCATATGATAGCTTTAGTTCGATTTGACAAGTATTTTAATTAGGATTCAACTTCTTAGTATTATTTTAATTTTTAATTCTAATCTTACGTCGATGAATCATTTAAGATGTCCGAAATATCTACGATGTATGTTCATTTTTATATTTTCAGTAACTGAATTATTTGGATTCCTTTATCGTACCATATAAAAATGTATATTTGGATTCCTTTATCAGACCCAAATCTAGTTTAGTTTACGACAAGATATTTCTCAGTTTAAGATGGAATTTGAATTCTAGTTTACATATTTAATTTTATTTTTTATGAATTCACATTTTAATTTTACATTTTTCAATTTCACTAATTTTTTAATTGTAATATATTCCATCATTAAAATAAAATATCATCATTTATGCTGAGTGGGTTGTTTCTTCTTGTTTCTAGAATATTACCCCAGTTTTATAAATTTATGTCAACACAAACAAACATTCTCATCTTTATATCCTTTTACTATTGTAATATACTCCTCAACTAGTTTTTTTATATACTTTCATGCCCTTCAACCATAACAACATAACAAATGTACCTTCCATCAAATTTTCAGTTAACTAACTGTTAGTAGTGAGGCAAAATATCTAATTTACCCCTCCCAACAACTTACACAATTAACTTAAATTCCTAATTTTATCTATTTATATAATATTCTTCAATTAATTCCAAAACATCTCAACTCTCTAGAACCATTACCCCCCTCCATTAACCATGATCTTTGCCGCAACAAATTCTGACTTCATGTCACCTCCAATTAGGGGTGGCAGGACGGTTTTCGGTTAGCAGTTAACCGGACGGGTTCGACCCAACCGACCAGTTTTTGGCTAACCGAAAACCGTCGCATTTTGACAGTGGTCGGTTGGTGGTGGCGAGGGTAGGTGGCTCGGCTAGCCGACTGGCCGAGGTTGGAAACCGGCGATTAGCCGACTAACCGAACCTCTACCCAGCCTAACCTAAACGACCCACCCTCACACTCAAAACGACCCCTCCCTAACCCTAACCTAAGTCCCCAAAACGCAAAACCCTAACCGACCCTCTTCTCTTCTATCTCTCGTCTCCATCTTCTCGATCGTGCCGCAGGTCCTCCCTCAGACCCTCACCACCCGACGGCAGCGGCGCAGAACAGAGGGCTCAAGATGCACTCCCGGCGACGTCTCCGCGCCTCCCTCCCTTGATTGCTGCTGGCGCTCGCCTCGTCGCCGCCTCCCTCCATCGCTTGTTGCCGGCGCTTGCCCCGTAGCCATCCACGATTCGCAGCGCCCTCGCCCCGACGTCACGCTTTCGTCCCCTAGAAGGCTAGCCGCGACCACGCCCTGCAACCGGCAACTGCGACCCCCCCTGCCTTCTCCCTAGTCCCTGCCCCGCCTTGTCTTCCTCCCCTCGGCGCCGCCCCTGCGCCGCCTCCACTCAGCAGGCTCTTCTTCTTGTTGTTGCTTGCTGCTGTCTACTGATTATAATATGTAAATTGATTGATGATGATTTTAGAGCAAATGATGATTTAGAGTGAATGATGATTGAATTAGAATGATGATTTAGAGTGAATCTTGATTGATTTATGAATAAAGAATGATGATTTTGGTGAATGTTGATGATTTTGAATGAATGACGATGATTTAGAAATTTAGAATGATGATTTTGGATGAATGATGAATGATTTAGAAATTTACAATGATGATTTATAGTGAAATAGTGAATGATGATTGATTTTGGTGAGTGATGATGATTTTGTGTAACTGTTGATGTAGGGCGAGACCTCCGGCTCCACGTGGTGGACGTGGTGGATGAGGTGCACCTTCTGCTGAGAATGTTTCTCGTAGTGGGAGACCTCCGGCTCCTCGAGGTCGTGGTGGTGCAGGTGCCTCAGCCCCTCCTGCTCAGAATCGGGGTCATGGTGGACGTACATAAAGTCGGCCTATTCAGTCTACTGATCCGTCGGCCTCGGCATCAATTGTATCGACTCCCACCCATGCCGCTAGTGGAACTACACCTGCTGTTGAGACTCCTTCAGTAGAAACGGTTAATCCTTCTTCAAATAAAGTTAAAGACGATCCCTTCAATCTAGAGAAATGGTTGGAGACAAAGGGTATAGCTGATTGCTGGAAGGACTTTACGAAGGTGGCGGTGGATGAGTATCTGATGGGAGAGTGCAGGCATTGTCATACTAAAATCAAAGCACATCCATCCAAGAATGGCACTTCTGCAATGAATAACCATCGGAAATCATGTTTGGCTAAGGTTGCAGCATCCAGGGATCAGACTGTTCTGAACTTGCAGGCTGCAGATGGTAGTCAAAGTCAAGTAAGTGCTTTATATAAGTTTGATCAAGCAAAAGCAAGATATGCCTTAGCCATGATGATTATTATGGATGAGCTGTCTTTGCGCTTTGTGGAAAGAGAAGGGTCTAAGCAGTTTATGCAAACGGTTCAGCCACTGTTTAAGATACCTGGGAGGAGAGGTATAAGAGATGATTGCTTTCATATATTCTTGGAGAAAAAGATGAACTTGATAGAGTTTTTTGAATCAAAGAACAAAGGCAGAGTTTCAATCACCACAGATACATGGACATCTGACAACAGTAAAAATTACATGTGTGTGACTGGTCACTTTGTTGGAGTTGATTGGAAGTGGCAGAAGAAGGTTCTCTCCTTTGTTCCCATCACAAGTCATACAGGAAATGATATTGCAGAGAAGCTTGCAGAAATTCTTGAAGAATGGAAGGTGAAGAATCTGTTCTGCATGACCATGGACAATGCATCTACAAATGATATTGTGAGTGATTGCATGAGAAGGAAATTAAAGGAGTGGGGGTGTGATTTGATGGATGGGAAGAATTTGTTCTGCATGACCACTGACACACCTGTCATGAATGAGGAGAATCCTCGGGTGAATCATTTAATTTATATAGCATGTGTGCTTGATCCTAGAAGTAAACTTGATCTGGTGTCTGAAGTGTTGTTAATGATTTATGGACGTATCAAAGGAGGGGAAATTTCTGGCTACTATTAAAAGGGAGATGCGCCAGATGTTTGAGATTTATAAGAGGAAGTATGGATCAAAGTCTGCATCTCAGCCTACCATTGATGATGATGGTTCTGTTGATGGTGCTAGTGATCGGATTAAGATATTGGAGGAGAGGTTTAGAAAGAGAAAAAGGGAAGCACTTCTGCTGGAAACAGGAGGTAGCTCTGGTGAGCTTGACATCTATTTGAAATGTCAAACTGATGGCATCAATGAAGAGAGTGATGATGCAAAGTTTGACATATTGGAATGGTGGTCTCGACACTCTGGAATATATCCGATTGTTGCTGAGATGGCTAAGGATGTCCTAGCTGTTCTCATCTCTTCTGTTGCCTCAGAGGTAACATTCAGCTGTGGCGGGCGGATTCTCAGTTCATTCAGGTCATCTTTGAGCGACCTAATGGTGGAGGCATTGATTTGTGCTGAGGATTGGATAAGGTATCCCGGATCCAGGGAGATTGACGATAAGGAAGACGATGAAGAGAATTTGACTTTGGAAAGTAGTGAGTTCTCAAACTCTCTTATTGTTCAGTTTTTTGCCTTCTTTCCACCTAATTCAATGTATGAATGTACTAACACTTTGTTTTCCTTTTTTTTCTTACTCAGTTAATGTCACTTTCCAAACTAGAATGGAAAGTGCAACGAATACTGGCAATGTTGGCAATGCAGATGCAAGCCTCAACATTCCAGTGGAGAATGAGCAGGAGGGTGAAGAAGATGTACCAGAGGAAGAGTATGAGAAAGATGGATATGATGATTATTGTCATGACTTGTTGCCCCAATTGAATGAACAAGGTTATGCAGATGTTGGTTCTTCTAAGGCTGGTGATAAGTGATGATAGATTAAGATGTGTTGTTGATTTGTTATTATCTAGAGGATTTATTGTGATTTGTGGAGTTTATGTTGTTGAATTAATAAATGTGAGACATTAAGTTGCTAATTTAGATGTATTTTCGATGCAAAAGGAATTGAAATGTAGGTTTGAGATTTTAATTTTAGGCGATTTTAGGTTTTCTTCTCTTGTTGTCCGGTCGGTTTTGACCGGTTATCGGTCGGTTTTTGGAGGTTACCGGTCGGTTAGGCAGCTCCAACCGAACCGGCCTTCACATTTCGGTTGTCCCGGTTAAACCGCGCCTAAACGAAAACCGGTCGGTCGGTTTGCGGCTAACCGAGGCTGATGGGATGGTCGGTCGACGGTAGCGGTTGGTCATGTCTCCTTCAGCCAAAGAGGTCCTTCAATAGCGCCTAAACAAACCGACCGGCCGCCACCCCTACCTCCAATAACGTTGACCCATTCAGCCAAAGAGGTCCTTCAAGGAGCTTTGTTTAAGATGAATTGTACGAGTTTTAGCAATCAAGCAACAAATAATGCAAGGATTGCTAAGCTCCAAATTTCCAAATATCGTAACTTATTTCCACCGGAACAAGCGAAAAATCCCATCTCGTAGCCCTCCCTTCCACCACTCCTGGCTCTCCTAGCTTGGTCCATCATCCAATGACGGTGAACACTCTATTCTGCATATACCACCACCACAACCACTGACGACGACGGTGTTGAGTTGGAATATAAAATGAAGAAGAGGTAAATAACCTTCACAATTATGCATCAAAAGGTCTACCCCGTAATTCGCTTTGTGTAGATCAACATCCACATCACTAGAGTAAACATCATCTTTACCCCAATCCACCTAAGTGGAACCCTAAAATTATTCAAGATAGATCTGTGAATTTGAATCGCTTGCAGAAATTCGTATGCCACTCCATCAGTATAAAAAAGCGATTCTCAATGCCCAAACTGGAAACGTTGTCGCTAATCGCTTCAACCCTTCCACAATTGTAACTTCACAATTTCCATGGATTCAGTAG